TTGACAAATGGGAAAACCTACCTAAAATGCACACTTTTTCATAACTACATCAAGTTTCAAAATCACTTTTTAAACAAGTCAGAGGATTGCCAATGGGCTTACATTCCAGCACCTCGATCTGTAATATCTTTTTATTTGTCAAAAATTTAACTTCCAAAAAAATCTACAACCACAAGATTAAAATTACTACAAAAACACACCTACAGATATATTGATGACCTTATTACAATTAATAATTTTGGTAAAATTGAACACTCCGAGATTTATCCGAATTGTCTTACAACTTAATAAAACTAATAATTCACAAAATAGCATAGACTTTCTAGATCTTCAAATCATTAACTACAAAAAATTTTTACTTTTTGACAAAACAAGAACTTCAATTTCAATACTAACAAATTAATAAATTGGAACTCCAACATATCCAAAAAAGTAATTAACAATACTATAATTAATCAAATACAACGAAAAAAAAACTATATGCACAGATACAATAGATTTACAACGCGAAATTTTGATCCTTATCAAAAATTCTCAAAAATAAATCTAATTCCCATTCAATTTATCAACCATTGCCTTAAAAGAGCAGGCGTTAATACTCACTCTAAATCATTTAACTGATAGGGATATGATAATTTGTTCCTAAACCTGAGAAGGCGGTATAAGTTGGATGACGTCAGTTGAAGATTTGTATATAGTGTAATTACTCAATTGCATATATTGTAAAAAGCTAATTGTCTTCAGACATATACTGTTACTATACTGTTACTAAAAAATGGGCCTATTTCTGCTTTAGACTGTCTATTAGCTCTTGGACAGTGAAAATGCCTTTTTTTTTCCTTTCTTAAATTCTTAATCATTGCGACACGACAATTAGCCAGAAATTAATTAATTTCCATTCACTAGTATTTTCAAAAAAAATCTTAACAGACAGGTCTCTCTCAGATAAGAACTCCACAAAATACATCCCTCAAGAATTCCAAGTCCCACCACTACCATAAATTACTTCACCCAAGTCTTACCGACTGATATTATTCAAAGCCCCTACTGCCCCGCTAAGAATTTTCGGACACCCTACAACTTCTGAGTCAGACACGAAGAGAACACTTGCTGCCAAACTCCCCCACTAGAAAGAATGTAAGTTACTTAATACCTTTTCTGGCCTTATATCTTCATGTACATTCACTGATCTTATTTATATTATTTTCTATATTATTTTATATTTTTTATTTTTGTTTTTTGATTTGTTTTTACAAGTTTTGCATTATTTATCTTTTTTTGTAATCTTCTAGTTTTATTTCAACTTTACTTTGAATTCGATTTCATAATGACAATTTCCAATGTTTAATTTCTACAAATAATATAGTACTCAAATGCATAAACATGAAAGTGTCGGGGACGATTACTCGAGTTATAGGATTTCTCTACAGTAATTGATTTTTACTCCAAATTGAATTGACTAAAATGCTTCATAAGAATAAGTTCTTTGAGTATCAGCATTGGTTCATAATTCCTTCTATTCGCGGAAATATTTGGCCTGACTAGAATTGCCGGTTTGGCTTTAACTTATAACTCGAGTAAAGACGAAACACTTTCGTATTTACGTATTTTTTATCAATTATTGTCATTGAACGGGAGTTGGTTGTGTTCCCTTGAAAAGTCAACTAATTTCCGATCAATGACAATGATTACATGTTTTAATTTTCCTTTTACAATTGAAAATTATTCTTCGTGATGATTTAACTCCAGTCCCCCGTTAAAACATTATTAACATTTTGCTTTCAAATTACTTCAAAACATCTTTCAAAATATAACTTACCAGTAGGATTCACACTTTTAAATAATTCTACTTTAATTAAACTTAGGAGATAATATAATCAATTAATCAATACTGTTTAGGAAATAAATTTTTATATATATATATATATTTTCTGGGAGGAGATATTGTTGGCACCATGTTGAAACCACACACAAATTTGAAAAATCGTCGTTTCGAGGAAAACACGTTTAAAGCTAGCATGGTCTTGATTTTCAAAAAGATAGAACTATGATTTTTAAGCAATAATTCTTTTTGATATATCTCTGTTCCTTAGCGTAGACTAAAATATCGGAAAAGAACTCAGAAAAATGCAGATTTGTGCTTTTGGCAATGTGTCGATGGTATGGGATATTTATTACTATTTTACCTTTACATTTCAGTTAAGCACAAATTGCCCCTATTTTTTTAACAAGGAATAATGGTATTTAGCTTACACCTTTCTCAACGTTTCTATTCATTTAAGTAATTTCTGTGAATAAAATATATCAAATTTGTAGTTAAGAAGATAACTTTGCGTGTAACTTAAAACAAAATCACAATACTTTTACTTCAAGGTCTTCCGAGGGGGGCATCTAGGTACATATTGCAACTATCGGCACAAACCATTCTCTCACTGGAAGTATTCTCAAATTTTAAATGGAGGAGAAATATTTCAGAAATGATAATAATAATTAAATAGCACTTGTAGTACCTGCGTAAGATTTCATGTATCTGAAGTGGATGGAATTATTTAATATGAAAAGCAGATGAGGGTTTTCTGCCTAAACTCCACCCCCGTTTTGACCCAGAGTGCACCAGATGATGGAATTCTTTCCCTACCACCAATCTCTTTAGAGAATTTTTCCAATGAATTGGACTAGATTATTTAGATAAAATACACTCGAGACCTAACTGTTCAAAGGAACAAATGCGTTCGTGGAGCACATTTTAGAAAAATTGGCTCATATTACTCACGTTATGCAGGAAGAAAATCACGAAAACTTTGTACATCTAGTTCGTTACCTCGAATTTAAACCTGAGTCGAACTATCAATGTTCAGTGGATTTACCGCTCTGCCGCTGGTGGACCAGAATTTTTTGATAGACAAATTTTAGAATCCGGGTTCAATGTCATGTGTTTTTAGCTTCTACAAACCACTATATTATCAGGGTGTCTTAGGTTGGTTTGGTTTATTGTATTCTGATAAAGAACTCGAGAACTACCTGCCTGGTGTCTGGATGAAGTATTTTTACCTTACATTTGTCTTTCCATTACTGTTGTGATACTAAAATATTTATTAATGAACGACTTTTCTTTTGCGTGTTAAGTTCACTGTATGCATTAGTGTGTGAAAAATACACGCTGTGGTACTTCAAAGCAATCAGCAAGGCCTTCCAGACTTAGATCAACTATGTGACAGTACAATTTTCTGTAGTTATTTTCGTTTAGTTCCTAGAAATTTCGGAAGATCTCGTATGAAATCGTTTATTTCTTTGAAATTCTTGTAAATAGTTGGAAGTCAGTTTGCGAAATTTTGGGGAATTTTTTAAATTGTTCGTCCATTTCTCCGTGAAAATAGTTCCCAACCTGTTAGATGAAAACATTTTTCAAAGTTAGTGTGCTGACTACAAGTTTTTTTTTTTCTCAAAAAGTATTTTTGCCTTTTAAATAAGACAATATAACGCCCTTAAGTATTCAGAAATTTTTTCAGTTTTCTACAAATTATTTGCGTTCCAGAGCTTAAAATTCCACTTAAGAAGGTGTGAATTGAATAACTTAAAAGCAGGGAATTTAGAAAAGTTGCAGTTGTACTGTAAAATTAAATAAATAAATAAATAAAATAAAATAAAAAATAAGCGTAATAAAAAAAGTTCCGACCATAATGAATAGATATTTGAAATCCATACCTCGCTTCGCTCTAATCTGTCTGAGAATAGGATGTCATTATTTTCTGCTGTAAGGATAACAATATGCGTTGGATCGTCATGCGTGGTAGTAATCAAATTAACAAACAAACCAAAAAAATCCTGGGACCTTCTTTCGGCAGAAAATTATCGAAGAAGTTACTTATTACTAGAGCATAATTCAGATCACTTTTAAGAAAAAATTATTAACTGTAAAAGCGCTTTTAGGAAGTTTCAGTATTGATGTGTTTGCTGTGGAATATATAAAAATTCCCTTTTGTTATGAAAATATCATGAATTACCTGTGTAGCTTGTGATATTTTCATAACAAAATAAAAGCTAATAGATTTTGATGAGGTAGAACAAGCAAATAAAATGAGTAATTATGTTAAATGAGTGTAATAAAATAAACGATTAAAAGACCTAAAGTGTAATATCATTAGGTGCTTTGTGTGTGACCTGCAGACAGAAAACATTGATTGAAATTTTCTCTAGCAACATATGGTTTGCGAGTATGCTTTTCTTTGAGATGAAGAAAAAGGCTTTTTCTTTTAATACAGTTTCTTTCCGCTCCACAGGCAAATGTCTTCATTATTCAAATACTGAAACTTTCGAGTTTTTCCTTAATTTCATACAATGACCATTTTCTTTTCAATAGGAAACGAAGCGCCGCGGAATATCAAAATAGAAGGAAATTTTGCAGTGTAATAACGGGAGAACAATTGTATGAAATTTGCACAAATCTGCAGACTTCTGAATTAGCCAATAGCATGATAATTATTCAGCACATATAAATACTTGAAAATGTAAACAATAGCTACAGCTGATAGTGTTTGGTACAAAGCTTCGTGCAATTAAACCTTAGAAACATTCATCCGATTGAGTGAAATTCGTTTAATTTTTCCTTCAGTCCTTGAAAAGTTAAACAAAACAAAACAAAACAAAATGCAGCATTTACAAAGATGTGTAACGATGAGCTATTTTTTAAAATTTATTTGCTCAACTTACTTAATTATTTCCTTTTCGTAATCTGTTTATACGATCCCAATTTCATTTTCATAAATTAGTAATTTAGGAGTTTACAGATACTGCTTATACCTTTAGCAAAGCAAAGTTTTGATTCTTTTTTAGTCTCTCTGCAGGTTTTTACAATATGTGCAACTAATGAGAGCAAAATGCTTTATTTCTTATCGAAACTCGTTCGCTGCCCAAAAGCAACCAGAAAATAATAAAAAGGCGGCGAATTAAATGTAGGTCAACTCGTGCGGGCGAAACCTGTCTATCAATTCCTTGCTAGCATTGCGGAACCACAGTGAAAACAACTCTGCGAGCGGCAACACTTAATTGGTATTCCGCTTGTTGCTATTCGTAAGTACATACCGCTGAACTTGATTTTACTTCTGCTAGAAGTGATTGAAAATTGGCTTTCGTTTTCAACTTTCAAATTTCAATTTACTTTTTAACTCTACTAATCGAGTTGGCTGAATCTCTCGCTGAACTTCCTTTAATATAGAGTTTGATTGTATTAACTAGTCGGTTTTTATTTTAATTTGGATTGCAATATGGAATAATTTTATTGTTTTCCCCCCTTACTGCCAAAAAAAAATTGGACTGCTTACGATTACTGTTTAACATTCAGTTTTGGATATTATTTTAATTACTTCACTTAATATTTTTATTAAGGTAAAAAGTGAGTTAATTATTCAAAACAGTCTGTCTCTGATAGGAAGTTTACTTATTTTCTAAACACTGAATTGTTTGATTAATTTTTTTTACCTTTCCTCAGAACATCGATAGATAATACAAATATAGCTGCCCATATTGGAAATAAGAGGGCATTTTCGAATCTATCTGCTGTCAGTTTAAGCCGCTATGAATCTGTTCAGCATCACAGGAATAATATTCTTATGTATCAACGTATCAGAACAGTGTGCTCTTCCATACTGGTGGACAGAGCAATACCACTTTTTGCCTTACTACCCACAAGCCGGACAACCTAAAACCACGTATAAATATCGTGAAACTTTATATCAAGCGGATCCTAATAACTATGTTCATCACCGGGAGTATAGTGAGTATACTTGGTGGGAGCATGATACATCCAACAGTCAAGAATTTGGCAACGGCTTACCTCTAGATTTTCACCATGTAACTAATGCTGTGTTTTCCAAAGATGGTAAAATTGGTGGAATGCATCCTGGAGGAGTGAAAAGAATTTTACCTCAGGGTGGCACAAAAGGAGGTGTGCCTCACGGTGGCACTAACGGAATGGTACCACGTGGTGATACTAATGGTATAGTCCCCGCTGATGGAACCAATGGAATGTTCCCTCAAGATACTAATGGCATAATTCCAGCTGATGAAACAAACGGAATGACACCAGAGGATTCGGTAAACCGCAAGTCTGATGCTTTACCAACACCCAATCCAGACAGGGAAACTAACGAAAATGAACGTGAAGTAATATCTAAAAGTGGTGATATTGAAGGTAATGATTTGGAAACGGGTGGGTCTAAACCATCATCCAGATTAGTTGAAGCTAATACCAATGATGGTTATTTCTACAACTGGTTTGGAAGAAACGCTGTTAATGAAACACAGCCATGCAAAGTATCGGAAAGTAATTTGCAGTCATTGAGAAGTATGATTGAAAAGATGTTTAGCTTTCCCAGAGAGCACACAGAAAGCAAAGAAAAGGCCAGAGAAGACATCCTGAGAAAATTCAAGGAATTCGGTTTGCAAGTCTGGACGCAGAATTTCACAACTCCTCCAATCAAGAATCCGGTGAGTGAAAATTTCATTACTAACTTATATAAAATGCTTTATTGCAATGTTCTTTATTTCTTTGAAAAGCTGTATCATGTATTATAATGTAATTGTCGTTTTAAAACCCTCTGACCGACAAAGCAGCATATATACAGCCTAGAATATTTTCTATTATGTCTGTAAGAAGGTGCATCTTGAAATATGTCTGAAAAGAAATTAAAGCAATGTATTAAAAGTACATAAATCCAAGTATAAAGTAACAGTGGTATTTTGACATTAAAATCAAGAAAAGTATTTCTCCTGGTAGTTGCAGGAGATTGCGCTTACTTAGTGAAACCGCTTGCCGGTTAGAGGGTTTTCATTCCATTTCCCAACATTTTATTTAAAAAAGTTTTTAAATATTTTTCTAGATAAAACATTTGCAGAGATTTGCTGTGATTTATGTTCCTTAGCGCAATTATTTCTCATGAATTTTGATATGAGAAGAATGGTATGAAATAAAATGTTCTTTAATTTTTAATGATTTAAAGTTGAAATTCGACATCATATTTTTCTCTATAAGATAACAAAGACAGCGGAACTGAGCTATTCAAAGATGGGTGCAATGACCTATACAAATGTAATGTTAAAAATGATGGTTATATACTTTTGCATAGAAACCACGTCATGATTTGTCTGAATTCTAACTTTTGTAAAATGCAAGGAATTGCAAACCTGACACTGAGTTATTAAACGATATTCGTATTAAACTCAGTATATGTAGTCTTAATTTTATCTCGCATAGTACAGATTATGCATGCTGATTTGTAATAACATTATTATTTGACACAATAGAATTTTCACTTTGAATTTAAGTATTCTGGTTTTTAATAATTTATTTCAACTGAAAGATTATGCACCCATATTTAAAGTTCTTCATGTTAAATTTTATCTATATAAACAATAGTGATGTCATAAGTTGCAAAATATGGAGTTTAATTATAGAAATAATGTTTAATATTCGGGCTTATGTCTAGTTAAAATTAAGCTCCAGTTTAAGATTCCATTTTAATAACGCTGGCACATAATGTAAATTATGACGATTTAGCAACCAAATTTATTATAACCATTATATTTAATGAAAAATCGCTTATAAGTTTGCAAAGCTGCCTATCAGTAGGAAAAGTCCTGATTGTTGTTTCATGGTTGGACATTTGCAAAAAAGCATTCGATGGGAATAACCAGTATCCATTGGTGATTTAGCCTTTTCAGCACCAAGAATGTTGTCCAAGCTGCTTCACAGATGGCTACCGATTTTACTCTCACGGGAGCGGGAATGTTCCATCCCAATTTTGATGTAAAATGCCCCGGGGAACGGATATACCCCGAGGTTTCTACATCTTCCTTCTTCTACCAACAAACTCTCGCGAGACTTTCGGCTCCCATGCCTCACAGACATTATACACTTATAAACATCTAACCTTTCTCCAGGATTTGAACCCGGGTATAATGATATAACAGGCAAATGCGCTAACCTCTGTACCGAAAAATTAATATCACTTTCTTTGCCATTTTGACATCACATAGATTTGCATCAACTTTGAAACGATGAAACTTATCACGGCTTCTTACAAAAACATCTTTAGCGACCCTTTCTTCCGAGTCATTCAAAAAAGCTTATAGTTTCACTAAAAAATAGTAAGTTAATTGGAATATGACGTTTAACATATCAGGTCATAAATTAAGAAGAATATTTTTTTATTTATATAATGATTTTGCCGTATTTTATGCGGATGTGCGTAATAATCAATTAATTAGATGAACTTTCTTTAACATTTTTCGTAAGTATATATTTTCATTAATTTTTTTAAGTGCCTCACTTTCAACAGCTTTATAAATGTTTGTAACAGAGACTTTTTAGATAACTCTTATTACAACATTAATAATAATTTTCCCCATGAAGCGTTAATACCTATTGAAATTCTTAACTAGGAAGTAGGCTTGTAATTCCATAAAATTTCAAAAGAAATTTCTTTGCCTTCCAAAGTCAATCTTTGCCAAAGCGTAACCATGTAAAGACAATTACTATAATTACTTCTATCATTGCGTTCTAGTGCGTAGCGGTAAATGCACGATTAATGAGCACCTTCTTGTTGAAAGAATAGAATATTCGGTCTTTACTTTAAAGACGGTTCTCTTTAAAGATTTTAAACTGTTACAGTCAAATAGGTGGTAGCGTATGAAGCAAACGGGTAATATACAATCGAGTCTGGACGAAACAAGGAAAATTGCAACGCTTATTATTGCAGCTAATAACACTTTATCAAGTTAAACAGTGTGTTGGAATACAGTTCGTTAAACCAAGAGAAATTCTGAATAAGAAAACTAAGATAAAAAACAAGAAAATTATTAAAAAAGGAGTAAATGTAATTAGAAATTCAAAATACAATACGACTCCAATTATATGGAATCTAGATAACCACCACTCAAGTTATCCGGATCGCTTTTTTTCTTTCAAAGGTAACTAAAATTTGAGGCTATTCTAAATTATTTATGCATTTTAATTTTATCATTTTTCTCAAATCACGTATTTGTTATAAACCGTGAATGCAAAAATTTAATAATATGTATTGTTCTTACTGTTTTATAATTTTACAACAAAAAATAACTTCGATTTTCAGTTCAACGGAAATAAGTTAAAGGTATAAGTAAAGTAAACATAATTTCAGTAAAATAAAAACCAAAACAAGGTTATATATTTAGTTTGACGGTTTAGTAAACAAAAATAAATTCCATTGCTTTTTAATTGAAAGAGAAATGGTTATGTGTTTAGGCAAAATAAAAGTTATTTCATTGTTTAATTTTGCCAAAAAATTATATTTTACATTTTATCTTCCCGAAATAGTCTTTTTAAGTGTATAATCATTGTTAAAATATTATCGATTAACGAAAAAGTAAAATTACTTTCCTTGCTTTAGAGTAAATAAGGATTTGGCTTGGATTAAACAGAAAACCAAATTATCCGCATTTTTTGAACATCTGGATAAATAATGGTTCGAATATTTAGAGCTATACTATTTAATTCAGGAGTATTTTAGTAATCCCATTTTCCTTCGAAGCAGCGTTATTTTATTTTTTTTAAGAAGCATTCTTCTGCATTATTTTGCGTATAGAAACGCATGGCAAAACATTCCTTCCCATTATTTTTCCTAACGTTAAAACTTTAATCATTCATGTTTGTGTTTTTGACTTTCTTCGCAATGAAATAAGCTTTAAACGTTAGTTGTGCAAAGATAAAATATATATATATATATATATGAAACGAGACTACACGATAATAACAGTAATTCCCAGCATTTTTAGTCTCACAATACACTGACTGAACCTTCTTGGCTTTGCTACAAGGCGATCTAGATTTTTTATCATTATCATTATGACTGTTATAATAGTAGCTTTTTAACCGCAAAAGATTTGATGTACGTTATTGGAGCTGGAATTACCCGGACTGCCCTCCAACTGATCCTAGTTAAAGGATTTAGTGTGTACTCATTCCATTTACAGGGTATCAAAAGAGTTCCGTATTGTAGTTTTTCGTCACTACCTCCCCGTTCTCCGAGAGTGAGTAATTTGCGAGTCTGCTGCCTTCCTTGGATGTGCCGTTTCTCAGGCTCCATCTCCGGAATAGAACCCTCGCTCTTACATGAGCAGCTACTGTACGATCAAACCATCTTCTACTACAGAGATCCCAAAACAAAACTCTCCGTATCATTAAAAACGAACATTGGTTCGTTAGGAACATAGTGATTCATAACGATTTAAAAATTAAATCCGTTGATACAGAAATACTAAAGCTGTCTCAAAGTTCTTTAAAAATTGTGATGGCCACACACACAATGTTGTTAAAAATATAGGGGACTGTGACTACTTAGTCGGAAAACCATAGAAAAAAACCACGGACTAACCATCGTAATACGAGATGGTAGCCGTCTGTATATAATTTTTGTATTTTACTTCATTAGTCATCCATTAATTGGAAGTTTATGTGTTTTTGAATTTCTTCGCAATGAAATATGCTTTATACGTTAGATGTGGAAAGATTAAAAAATGTGTATTGAAACGACAAACCACGATTCTAACATTGATTCCTTGGAGTTTTCCCTGGTTAGTCGTATGTTGTTTCCAAACTGGTCCGTTATATTCAGAATGCACGATTCTGTTTAAACATAACTACTCTACTTACACTATAGAAGATGTTCGTTAGAATTTCATGACAAACATAAAAACTCATTTTTTTTTTCTCTCTTTGAAAGCTATTCTAGGGGCATCCTGTAGGTTTCTCTTACCAAATAAACTAAACTACTCATTCTGTTCATGTATGGTAATTGTTTGTTTGTTTAACAGATTATGACAAGACTCGAAAGTTGCTATTTGCATAAAAAAAGACTTTTCTGAGGAAAAATGACTTATATTTACGTTACATATCGGGAAAGCCATGAAAACAGAAAGTCCATTCCTCGGAGATCAAATCGGGGTCAAACTACCAGTATTTACCAGTCTTATCCACGCGTTATCAGATGTTCTGTTATCAATTTTCAGACATTATTTCCAATAAGCAAATTTATTCAGATTATTGTGAAGAGAAAACTTTAACTAAGTACTAAGCCTTATTGCAGGAGTTTCACTGTCACAAATCACTCATTTATTAGTTAGTGTAAAGAATAACATAAGCATTACTACGGGCTATGACAATTTCGCATTATCTGGTCTCAAAATAAAATGCATAGATATAATGCGATAAATATACTATAGATTTTTGTAGAGTATTTCTAATTGAATTTAAATAGAATCTCGTGACACACCTCGTAGTGTTTTGTGATATACAGGTTTAAAAAAAAATGTATCATAAGATCCAGTTTTAGCTACTGTTTTTTCTTCTGTTAGCAAACTTTATCATTATTATCTCTTGATAGGTTATGTTCTAGACCACAGATTCCTAACCTTTTTCTTGCACAGATCTCTTTCAAAGGAATGGTTCTTTT